CGCAGGTTGGCAGTGACGCGAGGGAAGCAGGGCGGGTGAGAGCGGCTCTGAACGATCGCTCGGTCCTAACACGAGAAAGAAAAGGGGCACATCGTCGCGGAGAGGCAAGTCGCCTACTACGGGTATGTAGGTAACTCGCCTAACGAATACATTAGCACTCCGAATCTCACTATGTCGCACGCTTTTTGCCACGCCGTTGAACCCATGTGATATCACATGCGAGGACTTTTATCCTGCGCTCTCTCTCTCTCTCTCTCTCTCTCTCTCTCTCTCTCTTTCTTTCTCTCTCTCTTCGCATGCGTGCGTGTTACGTATCGGCTCTAGCACTTAGGCCCGAGCACCTACGAGTCCGACCCTTCGCCACTTTCCGCCAAACGCGCAACGTCTGTGGATTTATTGATAAACGGTGTGATGAGATGGTCCAAGTTAATTGCGAGTTTATAGGGTAAAACATCCAATTACTGACAGCCCATTAGTCATTGATACTCCAGAAAGAAACCTGAATTTTTTGACGACCAGTATTGCAGATATAAAAAAATTTCGTTAGATTTAATCAATTTCGCTGGACTCAAACAAATTTTGTCATTAGAATTGGTTCAAAGAAACTAATGTTTCAACCAATAAGTACGATTGTTTGGCTCCTTAAGAATTTTATTGTTTGGTCCAAAGAAAAGAATTGCTTCATTTAATTCCCTCATTTTATTTTCTTTTGTTCGCACATATTATTGTGCCGCGCACAATATAATATACATATAAAGAGATTTAATAATATACAAATAAAGGGATTTAAATTAATATTTAAAATGGAACGAAATCGGAGCTATCGAGTAGTAGTATATCTTCGCCCCTGCTGCGAAAACGGTAGAAATGGCCTTTCTTATAAAGTTAATAGCAGCCTTCTGAAATTGCTGCTTCGCTTTGCTCAAGTCTTCATTACGTTCCCCGGAACAATCGCGATATCGCGAGACGTGTAAAATTCATGGCGCGAAAAGGGGGAGTCACGATAGACGCTTCACCGACTTCGGGGCGGCTATATGCCCGTGTCGGCCTATCGAGGTTATCGCGGTCCTCGCCGTAAATTCAGGCCCCAACAACCCCGATTACTCTCTCGCTCCTCCTCTCTTGCACCCTTTCTCCACCTTACTCACACTCTCTTCCCCCTCCTCCTCCTCCTCTTCTCCTCCGCGGTCCGACGAACTCTGATCGCGTTGGTATTTCGCGTCCGAGACGAGATCCTCAGCTTCCACCGGGTACGTGCTATGAAGGAAGCTTATACGAGGGACGAGCACGAAGACAGCCATATATCCCAGCCGTACACACTGGCCGCATACCAGACGTGGACACTTACAACCGACGTAAGGTCCCAACGTCCGTGCCACGAGTACGACCGAGCATTCGCGGTGGCCGTCGCGAACTGCTGTGCTAAATCATCCTAGTCGAGGGGGTGTCCTACTCCGAGGAAATGCCACGTATACCTGCGCGAGCGCCGGTCCCTTCCGCTAGATATTCTCCAGGAAATGGAACGTCAGAAAGTGGAGGAACGAGAGCGTAAAGGGGGAAGAATTATGCGCGCGCTTTGGACGTTTCCACAGTCGATCAGTAGTATCGAGGAAGAACGTTCTCTCCGTCGAGGAGCTCTCGGGGGAGAGTCTTCTTCCTCTCTGTCTCCCTTTCGCGCCCGCCCCCCTCTCTCTCTCTCTCTCTCTCTCTCTCGATAAGTGAGAACATTTTAATAAAAGTATACTTCTCTGGACATTGATGAAATAGGCGGTACGGGAAGTTATAATCTGTTCACTTCACGAGTTTATTTCATTATTTGCGAAAGATGGGAAATAAATTGCCGCGCGAAGTGCGCTGGAGCGCCAAGGGCATTACTTCTTTTTAATTTAGTGCATCCTCCGCGTATGTCGAGGCTCACGCCCGGTACGGGCACAGCCGAGTGTTCGTTCGTAGGTCACGCGTTGCAGTGATAAATCATCCTAGATAATGGGATACCACCATTCCATTCCCAACGCGCTGTCAGCGGATAAGAACCGATACGCGCGCCAAGTATTTTCCGCTGAGAAATTCGTAGCTCTTGCGCGTCCTGTGTCGATGTACTGAATCATTTCAGACAGCTTTACAATTTATTATTCGGAGAATGAACGACAGCGAGATGGGGACAAACGGTGTATAGAGGAGGGGGAGGGGGCAGAGGGATGGAGAGGAAAGGCACACGTCGTGATGAAAACTGCGCGATCCTATTAAAGAGAACGAATACAAAAAGGAACGAACGACATCCTGCTCGTTTCCGACCGACCGCTGCTTCTGCATTTATGGATTTCCCGTGTGTGTCCTTTACCACACGAGTTTCACAATAACGACATATTTATGAATATACCGCTGGTGCGGCGATCGCCGTGCGCGTACAGTCTCGCGGGAGTATACTTGTGGACTATCGTGCACCATCGCGCCGCTAAATCATGTTCGAGACGGACCGAGTTATCGAAGAAAAACGCGCGTCGAAAAGTGCATTTCTCTCGGCGGGAGATCCCCGCGGTGAAAATTGCGCAACGCGCCCAAGTGGCGCGTCCCACGCTGTCGTGCGTGGATCGCAACACCGACGCTGGTCCCGATGGTAAAAAGGCGCGACCGAAAGAAACGGACGCGTGTACGCGTATCGCGTATTTTATAATTTCGCCGGATGAATCGGCATTAAACGCCATCGCGCGTTTGCTCCGTCGCTACTCGCGCACGGAGTGACTTTACGATAAATCAAGCGAACGTAAATCGCGTGCACGTGCAAAAGAGAGAGAGAGAGAGAGAGAGAGAATAAGCAAGAGAGAGATAGAGAAATAGAAGGAGACTGATAAGTAGAGAGGGAACAAGAGAGAAGAGAGAAAAATAGAGAAATAAAGACAAATAGAAAGAGAGAGAGATAGATAGATAGATAGAAAGAGAGCGAGAGAGCGAGAGAGAGAGAGAGCGAGAGAGAGAAGGATAATAAGAGAAAGAGATAACAAGAAAGGAAAGATAGAAGTAGAGAAATAGAAAGAGACAGATAGAAAAAGAGCAAGAGAGAGATAACAAGAGAGGAGAAAGAGATAGAGAAAGAGAAAGAGACGACTTAGTAGCGAAACAAAGGCGCGGCCTTTCATGATTCGGCGTTTTCCTTTATTTCATAGAGTGATGCACGGCGCACACCGCCATGTTTCGTAGTAAATAACTGACGCTAATGGAGACAGCGCGCGATCCGATTTTCTATTATTACGGAAGTCGTCCATCCACACTGATACGTGACTCTCTCTTTCTTTCTCTTCATTGCGGATTACGATAATGGGCCTCCTACATACTCCCGACGAGGTTTTATGCAACGTGCTCGCAGGAAATAATTTAACACATATAGTTAAGAGAAGTTGTCGACGTAAATGGGATTGGACAGAAACTTATGATACGGATTCGTATCGCTTCCTAGTATATTTCATATCCAAGTGCGACTGACCTTTCGAGTTGCATCGGTGATCCTCCGCGGTTGCGCCTACACTGCATCACGCGTCGTGATTTTTGCTACGTGCGCGACGCGTAATTATGCATGTTACATATTACACACGTTACGTTATATTCTATCGAACACGGAAAGGAACGATCAGCACGAATGATCATTGGCTACAAACATCACTTGCATATAGACATGTTCGCCGTGAAATGAGCGTTCGTAATGCGAGCCTTCAACGTGTCGCAATTTCTCATCCGAGCGCTCATTGAGCGGTAGGCGAGAGAAAAAGATTGCAGAACCGTTGGGAACAGCAAACACGCTCGGCTCGCGGTTTTATCAGTTCGCAACAATATCCAATTTATTCTGCGAAAAATGGTTGCCGGGGTCCTAGCTGTTCCCAATCAATGAATAGCTGCGCGATAAATAGCACCGACCGTTTTCTCTCATCTCGCACAATCGGCGACGTCGAGCGTTCCGTATGTTCGACACTTTATCGCCGTTGTTTCCCTCTCGGACGTGCATTCTCGACATACGCAGGGGTGCCTGCATTTCCTGCACCGGCTTTCTTCGAATCTTGCTCAATGGTCGCGCGCGACGCGCGCACGAACAAAAACGGCCCGTCACCTAACGCGCACTTCGAAAAGCGGCGCGCGCGTCCCAGCGCGTTGAAATCCCCATTAAGATGGCGCAGCGCGGAGAGAAAAAGCTGGCACGCCAGGTACCTAACGTCGCGTCGTTTCCTTTACCGGTACTCGCTCACAGCTGGCGCACAACTATAGTTGGACACACGGATATTTCGGTGGCCCGGGCAGAATGGTAATTTTCACGCGCTCCTCTCCGGCGACATTGACAAAAATACAGCCGGGACAACTTATCTCGATCTCACTCGCGTGAAGTTACACGTTGTGAACGGTTTTTACTCTTAAAATATGCAAATGCAGGAGTGAGGAAACCTCACGATAAATCGGGCGAGCCTCATAAAACTAAAATAAACGTGTAATTATGTTTCGTATATGGGAAAAAAGCGTTTAGTTGGATTTAACCAAATTGCTAGGCATCAATCGTGAATCTTTTCACGTGAACTCGATCTCGCTTATCAATCATGTAATTTGTTTCCTTAGTATGAAATAATGAGAAGTGAATAAATTTTCAATACTTGGAAGCGATCATAAATCTTTCTTTCCAATGTGAGCTCGTGAAAAGTGAACAGTCTCATGTATTCTCAAGGTTAGATTTTTCACTTTTCACGAGTTTGCATCAGCAAAAAATTCATGATTGACTCTTGGGTGAAATATGAATGGAAAATTTCGGTTGAGGTTATTAGCATTCTATTCAAGTTAACCGGAAATTTTGTTAATCTGAACAGACTGGTAACCTCAACCGGAATTTTTTGTTTCGTTTATAGTTTTGTTCTTTGTGTGTAGCTGAATTAGTGAACACTTTTAGAACTAAAAAAGAGACATGTACATGGTATAACTTGGTGAGAAAAAAGAGAAAAAGAGAATTAGTACAGGCTAGTATCAGTTTAGCTGCAAAGAACAGACTACATATTTCACCAGAAACTTGATTATTCAACCAACCAAACTTTTTTCTTCCGTACAATTATGTTTCGGGAAGTGCAACTCTTACCTTCTTCGACGATGGCGGCCCTGATCGTGCGTCTCGTAAAGCGAGTGCCGGCGACGATCGCGATTTCGTTTTTTCAGGCTCCTGCCCTCGCTGCCGTAGATCGGGCCGCCGCGCGTCCAGGTCCCGAGGTCGCTCAATGCGGACTTCTCATGGTAGTTCATGCTGTTCGATCGTGGTCGATCGTAACCTTGGGGCTTCGCGGAATTGCCCTGGCCGATCTTTCTGCCGCTGTTGTGCACGTAGCGGCCGTGCTCTCTGGGCAGGCTGCAGTAGAGATTTTGCGAGGTGTAAATGGTCTTGCCTAAGGACTTGCCGTTTCCGCCGTTATCGCCGCTGCTCGTGCTTCCCTTCGACGGAAACGTGCCACTGACATCGTGACTCCCTTTGGAACCACCGCCCAGATGTTCCCGCAACCACTTTCCTATGCCGCCACCTCCGCCGCTTCCAGCATGGCCGTCTTGAGCGCCGTAGGACTCGCCGGTCTTGTTTCTGCGACAGAAACAACAAAACTATATTGGTTATGATTAAACTACTCACTTTCCTCGGCAAACTCGTCCTCTCTTCCTGCAAACTCGTGAGTGAAGCGTGAGGAGTAATGGAAAACCTGCAACTCACACTTGTAACATGACGACAATAAGAGAAACTGTAGCGTGTGTTGCAAGTAGGAGAAAAACGGAATTCAATATTTCAGTTCAAAAAGGGAGAGGAAAGAGAGAGGGAGGAGGCGGAGGTAGAGAAGAGAGAAGGAAAAAAGAGAGGAGAGAGAGAGAAAGAGAGAGGGAGAAGAAGAGTCAGGAAATGGAGCGAATATGATCGTGTTCACAGTTTTCGATGAGAACATGGCACAATAGATGCGCCATACGACCTCGGTTCAGCGGCTTCGATTTCAGTATCCAGACAGATCGATAAAGAAAGGCCGTGCATGTAACGAGACAAAAACTAAAAAGGTGCGTAGCCGAAGGGAAGGAGGAGGAGGAGGAGGAGGAGGAGGAGGAGGAAGAAGAGGAGAAGAAGAAGGAGGAGGAGGGGAAGAAAGGGGTGGAGGGGACGAAGGGTTCTCCGAGAGAAAGATGAGGCCGCGAGACGAACGAGCGGCGAATGAATGGCACACGCCCTCGGGGGAATCGGGGAAGCGAATGCTTTATAGTAATAAGGGCCATGTGGAACGAAAGACAGAGACGGCTGGAGGATGGGGGGATGGGTCGGCAGTAGTTAGGACGCGGTGACCTTGGCAAGGTCATCGATACTTCTGGCCATCGCCACTAGAAGTCGCCAGCGCGTGGCGTCGCCTCGCCTCGCCTCTGCCGTCGTCCACGGCGGCTGATCCGTGGGCTCTTCTTTATCGATAACTTCGCGACTTCTTAGTAACTGGCGCTTTCTCAATGTCAATTAATTCTTGCCCGGGTAAGCACTCGTTAAACGGCCGCGACACAGCGGCCGGCGTGTATCGGCGCGTTAAACCAACGAACTTTATCGCGATGCCATCCAGGCAATGTGTATCGCGCGCAACAAAGTCGGCGCGATGGTACGTACGTGATTGGCGTGCATCGGATTAACGATCGACATTACAATTTAAATCAATGCCAGGCGCTTGCGTATATTTAATCGTTTATATTTAATCGTGGCTCTCCGTAGGGGACACCTAAAGACTCAATACGAGCGCGCTTTGCAATTCGCCGAGATGTGCCTAATTAATTGCTGCGAAATTAATTAGCCGCGTAATGCGGGTTACTTAATTGACCGGCGAGGAACGAGTCTTAGGCTTTCTGATAAGAGGACAGTCTACCTCGAAAGTCTAATCGGACCGCGGGATCTTGAACTGAACATTAAGAAGGGAAGTGCGGAGTGAGAGGTGATGGTGGTCAGCCGAGCGGGGGAAGCCGAGTAGCAGTCCCGATAGAGTTTCGCGATTCTCGGCGTATTATCCGGCGTGTTACGCCACTGTATGAAATTCCGGTTTTGCCGCCCCCTCCGGCCGTTCGGGTACCCGCTTACCCCCCACGCTGTTATCTCTTCGGCTTTTTTCCGCGTGCTCGTTTTTGCTTACCGCCTCGTGAAGCCGCGCCCGAGCCCGAAAGCAAACGCATTATCACGGAGCAATCGTGGAACTTCTTCTCGGCCAATCGACGACCTCTTTAGGGATCGCACTTTTGGTGGTAACCGGTTGCACTGTCGAGTGAAATAAAAGCAGTCTGCATTTTCTCACTTGAACGAGGAACAGTATCAAGTGATGCATTGTACGTAATTTCAAACTAAACGTCTGAAACGACCGCTAGACGACCAATAATATTGCACAATTATACTATTGACGTCCTCTTTATACAATTCAATATAATTTTCGATTAAATTATGCAATAAATTAGCTGGTTCTAAAATATTGAGTGACACAGAGTCTAGTTGCTTGTATGATCATTTCTTTGGCTTTTCGTAAAAGAGAAAAGAAAAGAAGAAAGTGAATGAAGAAATGATATATAGGAAGACAAAATTATATTCGTGAAAATTTGCTGAACGTATTAGGAGTTAACGAGCCAAACTTATCAAAGTTTCCTACGTTTAGATAGCTCAACGTTTGATAACTTGTTGCTTTACAGTGAAGCTGAAATTAAGAAAATTGATACTCGCGCGTGAGACGCCATTCCATCTAGTCGGCGTCCATCTATTACACTGCAGTACCTTGTTACTGGGAATTCCTTTAAAGATCTGTAGTTCATAAATGTTATATCACCTCAAAGTATTGGCCATTGCAGTGGAAACTTGCAAGCCGATACATGCATTTCATATGGCATGTTTCCGCTTTCGAATCTTCCACGGAACTGAAGTGATATTGCGCAATAGTATCCATAATCGTTTCAATATTTCACAACTTGCGCAATATATTTTAAGGAATTTTTTATTGACAAAATATATTGCATAAACTTTCAATATAGCCTCCATATGATCAGTAATGTTGTACAAATATTGTGCAATAATATTGATCATTTAGGGGCCTTCTAAGCTTTGTTACAAATCGACGCCAATGATTACGCGAAAAGCAATCAATAATTTAGTGAACTAAATTCCCTGGAACAATGTAAAAATTACTCACACGATACCGAAGATTGCAGGGAAGAAAATATTCGGGGATAGTCCAGATGTTTGAGAGAGAATAAATGGAAATCTAACGCGTTTATGTGTACGCGCATAAATGAGAAATAAATTTCGTGGAGGAATTAGGAAAGGCACGATATACATTGAGTAAAAATGGTCGAACTTATGGAACATACTGTAGGCATTCGTTCTACAGCATTTCGTGCTTGGATGGCCAAAACTTGGGCTTACTTTCTACCTTCTTACTCCTCGCCTCTCTCTTGTCAGCTCTCCGGGTTTTGTGCGTCTCGCTTCGCGAGAGAGACCCTCGTTTTCTTCTTATTTTCTTCGTCCATCGTGTTCGCCCTTTCTCTCCTCAACGCTGTTGTTTCGTTTCTTTCTCTCCTACGCCTTTCTCCTACCACCGGTTTTCCATTCTCGCTTCATCCTACATCTGACATGAGAGCTCTTGTCTTCCTTTGATTATATTTCTTTTATAACTATCGCTCCGTGTCTCTTTAGAGAAATTCCTTCAAGTAAAGTTCTATTCATTGCGATCGAAAAGTCATTGAAATAAATTTTCGCGAAAAAATATCTAAATTATATTACGACGAAATTGGACGTTGAAACTAATAAAATATTCTTATATTAATGGATTTCATTATCATTCGTTATATCATTAATTGCTCCAACAATAAAAGTTAGCTAAAGTAAAAATGCTCATTGAAATATTTCTCTCGTATATTTATTCTCTTAAACTTAATGTCTTTGTTGCACTATCAAATCTGTTTAGTTCTAATGTTTAATTGTGCCTACACAGAGAGAACGATTTATTGATTCAAATAAATGTTTCTTTGGAATAGTCCAAACGAATTATTTGGTTGACATAACAAAAATATTTCTTTGGAACTAAGTCGCAAATAAATATTTTTGTTGCTTCAAACAAAATTTTGTTTGATCAATCAAAAAATTCGTTTGGACTATTCCAAAGAAGCGTTTATTTGATTCAACCAAATCGTTCTCTCTGTGTAGCAAGCTACACAGATATGCAGAATCAACTAAATTATTTTTACCGTGTATAACATTTTAGAATGAAGAATACACTGATAGAGTACTTTAGAGAGCGACACCATAAAACAAGATGGCTGCAGCAAGTAACCAGGAGCCTTATAATTTATTCTGATTTCGAATATTTCGCGATAGTGCATTTCCAATCATGCAAAGTAATCATCCACAAACGACATTTTTGATAAAGAAGCTACACATTGATCGCCGATGGATTATCGCGTGATGATGCTACCGGTATTCGCGGACAGGTCGTGAAGTACGTTGCAGTACATGGGATTAACATTTAGACGAGAGGAATGCTCGTGAGTTCGCTTACGTGCGTTCGCGCCGGTGCAAGCGTTCAGGCACAAAGGGATTAACGTCGTTATAAGCGTCCATAGCGTGTTTTTACGTAGCATCCATCTGAATCATCCTTATACCCATAAACGTCACTACGCGTTCCTACCCGCCCCTCGACGGAAGTCGGCTCCACTTTCAACGGAGTTCCGAAACCGTCGGCCGGAGCGGTTTCGGCGAAGCGATAGCGAAAATCCCTGTTCCTCGTCAATATTGATCGTCGTACTCGCGTCCCGGAGTCAAAGGTCCTCCGAGACAACGAGCCCCGGGCAAACGGCGCGCCGCCTCTTGCCGATCTCTCGGAGCAGCGAGCGCGCTCGCGAGCGCGCGGCTCGTGAAAAAGTAAACGCGGCGCATCGCGAGGGGTGCTCAAATACGAAGCCACTCTCGGAGCATAATGCGCGCATTATACGCCGACGTAGCTGTTTGGCTAAATTCACCTGCGGCCCGTGGATCGGAGTCGGCGTCTTTGAGACTCTCGCTGGAAGGTATCGCGGAAGGGTGAGTGTATGGGTACTCGCTTGCGCGCTCTCGCGCACCAGCGCAGGACAACGATCCCGCTGTGGGGAGCGGAGTCCTTTTTCCACGTGCGAGATACCGCCGATCGTTCCGGGCTCTCTTATCGATCGTGATCGACGCGTATCTACCCCCGTGACTCGGCTTTCACGTGACGCCCGTGTGCGTACGCTGTGTTTAGAGGTACCACAGCTCGAAGACGAGCGAGAGGCGAGGGAGGGACGGGAGGAGATGCCTTATCTCAAGGTGGAGCTATGTATCGATGTTACTGATGTCGTGTCTGTTGTGACAGCCACCGTACGGTGAAACGACGATTTTAGGCACGTCGGAATGCCGGACGGTAATAAAGCACTCCTCGGATTCGTAATTACGGCTGGACGGGTCACGAACCGTGATGTTAGCCGGGAACGATTCCGATGGCTCTCCGCTGATTATCTCGGGGGATCCTACCAGGCGGCCGCTGTCCGTCCCGTGCGATAGTCGTAGTTTATTGTCGTGTACAG